TAATTTGTAGATTTTTCATTATTGGACTAAGATAATTCATAGAAACTGACTACAATTTACTGCTGTTTCTCCGTTTTTATTACTGCATAATTAAAACCTACTGTTGACTAGCACTGTGAGGAAACATTGGTGTTACTCAGTGTGCATCCTAATTGGCCACACAAGAAGCATCCCTTCTCCCAGCATCCCTGCTCCTCTGTAGTGATGTGTGTACATAATTCTTAAGATGCCATTAAGTAGCTTTTCAAAGGACCTACACTCTGATTCTCCAGTTATGGGACCTGCAGATGCTTCAGGGTGGAGGACCGTGAACTAAGGGCATGAGGGTTTAGGGAAGTTACATGTGAGTGAAAGCAGAACATAAAAAGGGAGCTTAGATGATATAATTGTTCTTTCTCCTCTGACTGTATTCCCTCCAGCCACAGTAGCTAAGGAGTCTATTGCAAAGCTGGAGACACACGCTCTTCCCTTTCTTACAGGAAAAGACACAGCACTCTAGTGGACAGTGAAATGAAAGTAGACTTTAGAGTCTTAATAGAAGGACGACCATCCTTTTCTTTCACAAAAGGGTTTAATTAACAACTTCTTTACACAAAAGAAATGAAGGAACAAACAATACATAGTCACTGCCCTCAATAAATTCACATTCTAGTAGGAGAATAAATGTTCATATAACTAAATGCATTGCTCCTAATAGACTTTATTGGCAGCAAGTAGTTCTTTAATAGGACATTGCAGTGGTTTGAATGAGAATGTCCCCCATAGACTCAAATATTTGAACACTTGGTCCATGGTTAATGGCAATGCTTTAGGAGATTGTAGAACCTTTGGTAGAAGCAAAGTACATCACTAGGGGTGGGTGTTTATAGTCTGGCTCCATTTTCTGTTTGCTCTCTGCTTCTTGCTTGCATTTGAAGATATGTGCTCTCAGCTCATATTGTGAGATTATTCTCTCTCACAATAAACTTGCCTTTTCATTCATGAGATTAATTACAATTACAATCGTGTTTCTTTATGCATTTGCATATTTTACTTAAGAACCTTACTTCTCTTTCAGGGACAGCTTCTGCTACCATGTTTGCTACTCAGTGTTAAGCCTTCCTGCCATCAGATACTCCTATCCCCCTGGAACCATAAACCACTATAAACTCTTTCTTCCATACGATACTTTTCAATCATGACGTTCTATCACATCAACAGAAAATTAACTAATACAGATGGAAGAATGGACGTGAATTTTAGAACCAGAGAGATGATCATTCAAATCTCGCTTTTGCCATGTGCTCTGCTCCATCTCCTTTAGAATAGCAAGCTCACTGAAAGAACTCCAGTTTCTTCCTCTAAAAATAGCAGCAAGATACTCCCCTGCAGGAAAATAAAAGGATTAGTGGCTGCAAATAGAGGTGGCTGTTGAAAGGCCCAAGATCCTTCTGTGGTCCTGTTGGTGCAAATCCTCCCTCTGGAAAGGTATAGAGGAGAATCGAGTGAGTAGATTATAAATGACATGTCAAGTGCCTGGCAGAGTGAAATCTGTTCAAAGCATTTGGTAAATAGCAGTTATCATTGTTGACGGTACTATGGAAACATCATCTTTTCATGTCCCTGATGCTTAAATAACTCCAGGCCTTACTACTCTCTGAGTGTCATAGGTTGCCCAAAGAATTGATTCCTTACAATATGGAGCAGATCTGTTTTGGCTCCTCCTTGAACACACACAGCTCAAAATTTCTTCTCTAGATTGCCTACCAGCACTTGCCCATACTTCTCTGTTCTCTTCTGAAAGCCAGTCCATGCCACTTGTCCCTTCTCCTGCCTCCTGATTGTGGACATTCTGTCCCTGCTGTAGCCTTTATATGCCAACCAGGGCTGTGTTTTCCAGTCCATCTAAGGAGCCACGCACCACCCACTCAGTACAGTATAATTTCTCTGCTTTCCTATTTGCCCCTCTCCAAAGCACTCTCCAAACTGTAATCAGACTGAGTTTTCCACATGAGTTCATGATGACACTCTCAAAACCTTCAATGGCTCTTTTTCTGTCACCTTTTAGAAAAGTCCAATCGTGAGCATGACCTTGGAGATCCTTCGCCATCCCACCCTTTGCTCCGTTCTCCAGGCTCACTTTGCACCAGCCACATTTATCAGTCTGGGGCCCCATGAAACCTGAGATCATTTTCCCTTCACCAGCCCCTGCTGTGCAGAATGCTGCCCACCAGTCCTCTACAGGCTTCACCCACCTTCTCAACCCCCTCTTAGCTCTTCCTGGGAGCCCTTTCCTGACCTTCAAACGCAATTATAACCCTGCTATTCTCTCTCACAATAAACTTGCCTTTTCATTCATGAGATTAATTACAATTACAATCGTGTTTCTTTATGCATTTGCATATTTCACTTAAGAACCTTACTTCTCTTTCGGGGGGCAGCCTTAGAGGTGTGACCCCCCTTTCCTCCATATCCGACGCGTCAGAAACATATTGCTATAGAAAGGTAGACAAGAGAAAACCATGACAACTTTATTTGACCAAAGTTTTACATTATGTGGTATCTCCAGAAGAGAAGACACAAAAGACCCAGAGGAGATTATTTTTGTGCTAACATTTAGTGTAGCATGAACAACCACACAGAAATGCAGTTTAGTAAAAAAGATGAGCTGTAGCTATTAGGAGCACTTTCTGAGAAACCATGAGAACTGGAGTTCAAATTGAAACATCCGTGTAATAAGCCCTGTGCATACCTATAATCCCAGCCCCAAAAGGGACAGAGAAGGGAGGATCCCAGAGCTTGCTGATTTCCAGACTAGTTGAGGAAACAACAGGGAGAGATCCTGCCTCGAAGGAATAGGTGGAGAAAGGGAAGATGTTCGGTGGCATCTTCTGACCTCTTTGCACATGCACACACACATACACACACACTCACACTCACAAAGGGGGGAATAAACAACTTGGGGGGAGAAAGAGTGGGATAATATAAGAGATTGGAGGGAGAAACCAGACTTTTCTTGGTTCTGCCATATACCACTTCTCCCTCCCCGAGTGTGGGGCAGGAGTCATTCTAAAATGAGTCTTAAGATCCATAATCACACAAGACAGACCAAAGAATTTCCTTGTGGTAAACACTTATACAAAAAAACTAAAACCATAAAGAAGGTTAGAGTAATGTTTCTAGACTAACATGGTTTGATGAAACGTCCTGGTTGCTCTGACTCATCTTGTAGAGAAGGAATCTTCATTTCTGTGGCCTGCCATGATATAGAGAAGGTATCAGGAGAAGAAGGATGGGGAGGTCATAAAGAGACCTTGCTTCTGAGGCCATTCCAACATCCTTCAACTCAAAGTAGTCAGCTGAAGTGCCATAATGTATAGGCTTGTTTTCTGAGTGCCAGCACTCTAGATTCTGAATTTCCCAAAGATGAGACTTGTGTCCCTAGCAGATAGCCCTGAGCTCTGAGAAGTGTCTCTCTAGCAGAGGCCACCATGAAGGCTTCCTGATGCCTCACCGCCTCTCCCTCTGCTTGTAGTGTCCCTCCTGCTCATAACAGTATGAGGCATTGCTTCATAGTATTCCATTCACATGTCCGTGCGTGAACAAGAATGTGAGATACTTGACACCGGAGATAAACAGTGTCTTGGTGTATGAAAGCATGTTCCCTCTGCTTCCACGTCCAGTTCAAAGAAAGATCTTAAGGGTAAAGTGGCCCTAACCCTTTATATAGAAAATATTAACGCACCTGCTTTGAGGCAACCTTGTGGCCAAACCTAGAGAAGCTTCAATTCTGCAAAGGGTAGTAGTGAGGGAGAGAATGGATGCAAGCATACCAATGGAGGTTACTAAGACATCCAGAAGAAATGGAGAGACCACAGAAAACAGAGGTGATGGTGCAGATGAGGATATGTTGGATTTAAAGGAGATAAAGTTGTCAAGATTTGATAGTGAGACAAGAAATCAAGAGAAGCAAGGTGTCAAGCACACATCATAGGGATCTGGCTTGCAGAATTGAATTGGTGGTGGACACAGCCACTAAGGTGGTACAGCATGAGACCAGGCTCTCTGGTGCAGTACAAAATGAAACAAAAAGGAAAGGTGGCCCCTCATGTATGAGCAAGGCAAGGTCATGGGATGTCCGTGTTCCTCCCTTAAAGAAGCCGTTTGACCACATATCTATGATAAGAAGGATACCTCATCCAAAGTCATGCGTGGGTCTAAAAGGCAATAATGTGAGAAGAAGTAGATTCACTCCACTCTTTCTTCTCAGATTCTTCTCCACCTCTGACCCTCTCTGAGACCAGCAAGGGGAGAGAAGACAGGGATCTACAGAGATGGTCCCCTGAAGCAGAGAACTGTGTTTTCAAATGGCAAAACCCATTCTCCCTGTGTACAAGTGAACTATCCCAGAAATAGTCAATGAGTATGAACATTATGCCCAGGTACTTTCAGGCACGTTGTCCATCGCCTTCAAGGAAGGGGATTTTAACCCGACTGCACGACGCTAACGCTGAACTTTTTCCCTAGTCCTAGTGAATGTCTTTGACCATGCAGCAAGGCTGACCTCTTACATGCAAAGCAGACATTTCCAGGTCGTTCAACACATTGGCAGCGAGGTCTTTGACCACACAATAGAACAAAGTAATTGGCCTCCACAGAGATCAAAACCACAACCTTGTCCTTATTTGATCATCCTGTCAATGGAGTGCTTAAGGCAAACTCTTGCCCTCACCAGGCTGCAAAACATTTTATTTCCCTTCAGACTTGGAGGGTTGCTGATTTATTAAAACATGCTCAGCCTTTCAAAATAAGCCTCTTGACAGAAGGGAAACAAGTGATGTCCCTATATATTATCAAATGGAAAAGCTCTTACAAGATCTGCCGAGGGCTTGAGCGGCGGCAGGTACCAGGTCCTGGAATCCGCTTTGGAGCAAAAACAGCTCCCAGCGCTGGTCCTCGGGTCTGGGGCGCCGCTCTTAGCCTAGCCACGTACTCTCACTGCCACCTGCTGGACGAGGTGAGCATACTTTTTCTGCTTCCCTTCCTCGGAGCTCCTCCCTCATCTTGCTTTTCCTCTGTTTACTCTGGAAGAATTGTGGTAACCGACCACAAGGTCTTCTGGAGGGCCGGCCCCATGCCGAAGAAAGGCAGGTAGGAAACCGTGCACACTCTGAGATCGCTGTGTGAGGAACACAGTGCAGGGGACAGAGGGAAGAAGCGCAGTGAGCCGCTCCCTGGAAGCACCTCCCACACCCCAGATTCCAGCTGTCTGCATTTCTGACCCTCTAGGCTTTGGGACCACCGTAGGAGAAACAGAAGCCTCCCGAAATCCCTTTGAATGTGGCCGGGGACACGCCTCTCTCATGATTATTCCGTTATAAGCGCAGCCTGTGTCTCTCGGGGCAGGCGGGTTTTCTGCTTGAGAACCTAATGCCTTTATTTCAGGCGACCACAACCAGCAGGCTCTTCTTCTTAAATGTCATGGAAATAAGTCCCCCTGCGCTAGAGCAATTTAAAAATTAAAGGCTTAGCTGGACCTGCTGAGTGAAAGCCGGTCTTCCAAGACCCATCAGCCGGCACAGCCTCTAGACAAGTGTTTCTCAACCTGTGGGTCGCGACCTCTTTGGGGACTCAAATGACCCTTTCACAGGGGTCGTCGCCTAAGACCATCGGAAAACACACAGCTATTTACATTATGATTCATAACAGTAGCAAGATTATAGTTATGAAGCAGCACCGGAAATAATGTTATGTTATGTTGGGGGGGGGGGGTCACCACAACATGAGGGTCCCAGCATCAGGAAGGTTGAGAACCACTGGTCTAGACTTTTTTTGTTTTATTTTGTTCACCTCCGTGTCTCATTCTATCGACGCAGCACACTGAAGAAGGATTCTCAGTGCAAACTAGATAAGGGCACTAGACCTGGTTCCTGTCTGGAATAGAAAGATGGGTTGTCGGGTGGTGGTAGTGAAATCCTAGCACTCAGGAGGTAGAGGCAAACCAATCTCAGAGTTCGAGGCCAGCCTGGTCTACAGCATGAGTTCCAGGACAGCCCTATATAGAGGGGGGGGGGGAGGAGAGAGACAGAGAGAGAGAGAACTGGAGAGAAATGATGGTTAAAAGAAATCTTTGTACTTTTGCGAAAGCCCCTTTGTCAATGGCTGACCGTAATTCCTGAGTTAATGGAGTCCTACCTAGAAGATCTTCTCTTACACCTGCTTCTTGTAGTACCACCCATGGTTTCCCCTGGCAGTTTGGTGTTTCGGGTTTCACACTGAGGTCTTTGAACCCTGTAGAGCTGATTTTTGTACAGAGTGATAGAAATGAGCCTAGTTTTGTTCTTCTATATGAAGATACGTAGTAGTTTTCCCAGCAGAGTCTCTGTGTGGTCATGGACACAGTCAAGTATGGTAACTCTTGAGTCTCTAATCCCAGTACCAACCATAGAAACTAGGAGGTCTGTATAGACAGGCAGTGATGAGGAAGCCATGTGGTTGGGTTCAGAGCCAATGAGAAGGCAGAACAGAAAGGCAATAAAAAGACAAGTCAGACAGGAAGAAACGCTTTCTCAGGGGAAGTGACGGCAGTGACTGGTAAGCTAAAGGTAGTCTTGGCTGTTTGCTAGTGCTCTGATCTCTTGGGCTTTTAACTCTGTAAAAAAAAAATTAATATAAACAAACTAATTAAGAATCAGAGGTTGCCAGCCAGATTGACAAAGTAGCCTCATCATGAACTCATTCCATTGTAAGTTGAGTCCTGCCGTTCCTGCTTCTCTCAGCAAAGAGAGTTTGAGTCAAGCACACCCTGCATTATAGTTATCTTTATAATCTTTTTTAAAAATACTTTGCAACATCACATTTTTTTCAGTGCTTAAAGCGTGTTTTATAAAATTGTTGGTTTCAATTACTGCAGTTCAAAACATTCTGCACGCTTCTTATCTTTACTTAAATACTTCAATGATAGTCGAAATAAACAACGTTGAGTAAGACATTTAAAGAGTCTGGAGCAGAGCCCCTCTGAATGAAAAGAAGAATAATGTCACCACTGCATTTTGCTATTTCTGTTGGCTATATTTAAGACTAATTTTTAAGCCTACTTGAATAAATGAGATTTGGCATAAACTTTGTAAAATACTTGAAATGGAAAGAAAAAGATGGAAAGAGCCAGAAAGTATCTCTTGATGTCACACATACAAAAAAGAATTGAAATTCAAATGTGTTTTGACATGCCTCCAAAAAACAGTCACCCAGGTTATGCATATTCCTGTGATTGCATAGACTGTCGGAATGGTGAGGAGATTATAAAGCGTTCTGAATAATCATTTTGGAAACTACATTATGTAGACAAAACAAGCCTAAGATGGAGATGCTTGTGTACCCGCTTCCTCCTTTATCTTCGCCAGTGACTACTGCAGTCCTCTGCACCGATGCTTAGAATAAATACCTTCAGTCTTTACCTCCCTCTCTTCCTGCCCCTGCTTGCCCTCTGATAGTCAGGCAGTAAATCCTAAAGTAATGGTTTGACAGGAAGATTTGTAAAACCAAATTAGTGTCATTCTTCCATGAACAATTTTGTCAGGACTAAAGCCTGAAGGAAGGAAGGAAGGAAGGAAGGAAGGAAGGAAGGAAGGAAGAAAGGAGGGAATAGGTGTACCTTCAAGAGCATCTTTATTCATCCAACCAACATTGGAGCTCCAACACTGGGCCAGGTGCTTTTCTGGGTGCAGAAATTACAAAGATAAACATGACATGATCTCTTATATGGATGGATAGCTTTATCAAAGTCTTGGAATTCAGAAGGCTTCATTGCATACAGTTTTTGTTAACCATTCAAGAGAATAGCTTTTCATGAAAAACTCCTTAAAAGAGGTCTGTTTTACTGGACTTTCCATGAAAATCTGACTGTAGAGATACAAGCTCCAGGCCAACTCATCTATTTTCTGCTACACTTGACACCGAATTATCTGTGCTTTCCAGAAATACCCTTCACCTACTCCAGGAATTTAAATTTATACAAAGTGTTACGTAAGCTGCTCATTGAGGGCAGAGTTTGAGTAAAACATTAGAATACAGAGAGGTTTTGTAGCAAAGTGTCATATGAAGCAGATCTTGGCTAATATTCAGGGGGTGCACTTGCAGATGCGATGGGAAATGACATTCTAAGGGGGAAGGAATCATGGAAGTAAAATTATTGTATCATAAACTTCACAGCCCAGCCTTGGATACCAGAGCATCCTAGGAACCCCTTGAGGAAGGAAGGAAGCAAACTGATACAAGTAGGAAAAGAATTGAAACACCAAACTCAAAAGAAGGGACTGTTGAGAAAGAGGCCCCAGCTCATGCCCTAAAGCCACAAAGCAGCAAAAAGCTAAGCTGCCATCAAGGTCCAAGATCAATATGACATGCATTCCTGGCTTCGGGTGGCTACCCAAGCCACGCAATAAATTGTTCTCACTAAGGAGGATGGAGTCCTACACACATTATAGGTTATGGGTAAGGCTGCTGGGTGGGATTGAACTGCCTGAGTTAATTAAACTATTGGATGTGGAGCCAAAAATAACCTTGGGAAGGGGGAAAGACATCAGTACGGCCAAGTAACTTTGGCTCAAGTACATGTGAAAAACAATGGCAAAAGTCATTGTCAGCGTCAACAACACCATCATCATTACCGTCAATACCATTGCTAATGGTCCACAAACTCCCACAGTGCTCTCAGTCATTGGTGAGGCACTGTTTCCGGCACTTTACGTATTATTAACTCATTTTAACCTTCCAGCAACTCTGCTACGATCTTCCTTACAGATAAGGAGAAGACTGGGGCACATCAGAATTTCGTCATTTCTCCAGGATCATCACCTAAAAAGTGGTCAAGCCTCTACAATGCTGCGTCAAAGTAGCATAAACCAGCAGCACCATTTCTCTCGACTGCACTACCGTGTCCTCCCTCTTGTATATCTGCTTGTATATTCCGTGACTTCCTGCCTCCTTCCTTGCCACTGAGATTAGCAGCCAACACCTGTCCCTGGCAGCAAAATCCTACCACTCAATATTCTGAAACAGAATTCTGAAACAGAAAGAAGTACAAGTCAGGACAGGGCTGCGAACGTGTTGTGAACAGGGCAAGTCCACCCTCAAATCCGTCCAGTAAAACTGCCATCTCGAGGTGCCACAGACTGAGTGGCAATAAACAGAAGAAATGTCCGCCTTACTGTTCTGGAAGCTGTAAGTTCAAAATCAAGCTATCAGCAGGTTTGAATTATCCTGAGGCCTCTCTCCTTCCCTTGTCCTCACATGGTCTTGCGTTTTTGTGCATAACCACTTTACATTATCCCCTTTGTCTCCCTAGAACAGCAGTTCTGCCAGATTAGGGCCTACCCCCACAACATCATCTAACCTCAGTTTTGTTTTTAAACACCTTATTTCCAAATCCAATTACAATAGAGGCTATGAAGGCTATGATCTCAGCATATCAATTAGGGGGAACACAATTCAGAATACAGCACTGGAATTAAGTCCTACAGCAACAGAGTCTATAAACCTAAGACTGTCATCCAGGAATGACTTTTGTCTCCTCTGTATGGGAACCCCCTAAGTTCCCTCTAAGTTTTTGCCTCTTCTCAAATCAATCACTGAGCCCATGAAGGTCTGTTTCTCTGTCTTTGGGGTCTGCTCTGTTCCAAGGATCTTGAGGATTTGACAACTCTATAATCCCTTATGAAAGATGATGATAAAAGAAATGGAGTTACTTAAGCCCTCCCCAACTACATCAGAGTCAAGAGGTGGTAGAGATAAACAGGAAAGTCACACATAGCTATTCTAAAGCCCTATTGCAATCCAAGCTGAAAACCACATGGACCTAGCAGTAAGCTGTATGATTACAACTCTTATCTAGTAACTACTGACATTCACCAATTCCAGTCAACTGCTGCCAGCGCTGTGAACTCACCTTCAAAACATCCTACATGACGTCACTCCTCTGTTACTTTGTTTTCTGGAGAGCATCATAGTCTGCACATCTTGAATGGCAATTCTTCTGCTTTTCCCAAGTCAACTCTTTGCTCAGAGATTCATTTCTCTGGCACATTACTAGTTGGAGGCCACAGAAAAAGCCTGAGCTTTCCATTACTCTCCTATATATCCTAGTATTAACA